TATGATCCCTATATTAATGCTTTTAGGTAGAATGTGTTTCGAAGATATACATATTACTAAGAGATTTTTATTTAGAACATGCAATAGATTTCTTTTTTTTTTTTAAAAATGAATACGATCAAGACATTTTTGAAGTCAAAATTTTATCCTTATAATAATAATTTAATCTTCATATGATTAAAAATCTCAGGATATTAGAAATTTTCATGTGTTCCTTTCTGAAGATCTTTTCCTCTGGAACTTATGTGATAATTTAATGCCACGTATCTGGTACAGTCTTCCTCTTCAGTTTTAAGCTTCAGTTTGAAAGTTTAATAAGTAATTTATGATTTGAAAACACAGCACAACAGAACAGCAGGGAACTCCTTCAGAACTGCCCAGCTCATCACCTGCATCAGGTGCTACCCTGTCATCGAGGTCAGTGATACACAAACCGTTCACTCAGTCTCGGATACCTCCAGATTTGCCAATGCATCCAGCACCAAGGCACATAACAGAAGAAGAACTTTCTGTGCTGGAAGGCTGTTTACATCGCTGGAGGACAGAAATAGAGAATGACACAAGAGGTAAGAAGAGTCCCATAGTGTAGCTGCTGTCACTTCAGATAGATGCTGTATGTCAAAATTAAGAGGGAAGAATCACTTCTAGGTTTTGTATTTAAACACTGTAGTGATTTTTTTTTTTACTAGAAAAGATATTATATATGAGAAACTGGTCTGGCTCCTATTTTTATGCTCTTAGTATGAGATTCACAGAGACCAATAGGGTTTCCAGAGATTATTTAGCTGACTAATGACATAGCAGATGGTCCGATTTTCCAGTTTAGTGTTCTAAATTTATATCAATCTGGCATTCACAGCTACTCCATTACTGAAATGTCACACAGCTTCAGAACTTTTACTTAACAGTTTTGTACTTCATCTGATATTTGCATAACTTTTCTGTAGGTATAAGAATTTAAAAAACATTTTCATTTTTGTTTACATTTTTATACTTGATTTTTAAACCTAGAGCCTTATGAATGCTAGAGATACTGAGCCACATCTCCAGCCTTAGAATTTTAACTTTTGAATCTGTTCTAATAGAGATTTATAGGTATGATCTGCAAATATAAAAGACTTTTAATTGATATGCAGCAAAATGTATAAATGTATGCATGTACACGCTGAGGAGTTATCTGCTGCCTTTCT